TGACAAAGAGAAATTCCTTAAACTAGCAAAATCAAGAACACAATGACTCAGATTCAAGGTCAGGAAACAAATGGCCTAGAAATATTAGAAAGTTTTCCTTTATAAACAGAGTGGTAGATGGTTGGAACAAGTTAGGTGAGAAGGTGGTGGAGGTAAGTTTCTTAACTTCCCTGATATCTTGGCAGCATTAGCAAACGCGATTCTTCGCGGCAGGGGATCGTATTCCAGGGACCATAGGATTAAGGACTTGCCCGAAACGCTACGCGTACTAGTGGCTGTACAAGAATGTAACAACTCTTGTATATATCTCAAAAAAAAAAAAAAAAAAAAAAAAAAACATGTTCATATAATTCTGTATTCCTTTTGGTAGGTCATTTATGTAGACAATCAACATTACCAGTTCAAGAAATGAACCCTGTGGGACTCTACTCATGACACTTCTCCAGTTCATTACATTGCCTCTGATTACTGCTCTCATTTTACTGTCAGAAAACTTTTCATCCATGTTAGAAGTCCCACTGTAATTACCTAAGTGTAGTACAGGATGAGAGCTACGCTCGTGGTGTCCCGTCTTCCCAGCACTCTTTGTCTTAAATCACTTTGAAATTACTGATGGTCTTGGCCTCCACCACCTTCTCACCTAACTTGTTCCAACTGTCTACCACTCTGTTTACAAAAGTGAATTTTCTTATATTTCTCCGACAGCTTTGTTTTGTTAGTTTAAATGTTTAAATCTATGACCTCTTGTTCTTGAAGTTCCGGGTCTCGGGAATTCTTCCCTATCAATTTGATCAATTCCTGTTACTATTTTGTACGTAGTGATCATATCGCCTCTTTTTCTTCTATCTTCTAGTTTTTGCATATTTAATGCCTCTAACCTTTCCTCATAGCTTTTGTTCTTCAGTTCTGGGAGCCACTTAGTGGCATATCTTTGCACCTTCTTCTGTTTGTTGATATGCTATTTAAGATATGGGCACCATACAACCAGTGCATATTCCAGATTTGGTCTAATAAAAGTCGTGAACAATTTCTTTAGTATTTCTCCATCCATGTATTTGAAACCTCTTTCTGAAGTTAGAAAGTGTACCATAGGCTCCTCACACAATGTTCTTAATGTGGTCCTCAGGTGACAGTTTTCTATCTAGAACCACCCCTAGATCTCTTTGTCAGAATTCTTTAAAGATTTTTCACATAATTTATAGGTTGTGTGTGATCTATGTTCTCCAATTCCACATTCCATAACATGGCATTTATTCACATTAAATTCCATTTGCCAAGTGGTGCTCCATATACTTATTTTGCCCAGGTCTTCTTGAAGGGAATGACAATCATCTAAGTTTCTTATCTTCCCTATTATCTTAACATAATCAGGAAACATGTTCATATAATTCAATAGTCTAACTGGTAGATCGTTTCTGTAGACAGTGAACATCACCAGTGCCAGAACTGAACCCTGTGGTACTCCACTTGTGACAGTCCTCCAATCTGATACATTGCCTCTGATTACGGCCCTCATTTTTCTACCAATTAAGAAATTTTTTGTCCATGTTAGATGCTTATGTCACCCCTCCAATATGTTCCAGTTTCCAGAACAACCTCTTACGTGGAACTCTGTCGAAAGTCTTTTTTAGGTCCCGATTGATGCAGTCAACCCAACCATCTCTTTCCTGTAAAATCTCTGTGGCTCGATCATAGAAACTGAGTGAATTCATTACACAGGATCTTCCAGATCAAAAACCATACTGTCTGTCTGATATTATATTGTTTTTCTCCAGGTGTTCTACCATTTAGTTTTAATTATTTTTTCCAATATTTTGACTATTACACTTGTCAATGATACAGGCCTGTAATTGAGGAGGGTCTTCCCTGCTTCCACTTTCGTAGATTGGAACTATGTTAGCCTTTTTCCACACTTCAGCTACAACTCCTGTACACAGGGATGCCTGAAAAATCAGTTGAAGTGGAAACTGTCACTCCTCCAGCATGTTCCAGTTTCCAGAACAACTTCTTTTGTGTTGGCCACAGGTTCTGCCTCAGTGGATGCATTGTTGGTTGACCCTGTGCTCACATAATTGTACTCCCGAGTTGAGATTCGGCTCTTTGGTCCTGCCTCCCAAATATCAGACAACTGGTGTACAAGGTCCTGAGTCTATAGGGCTCTGTCATATCTACACCTGAAACTGTGTATGGTGTCTGCCTCCACCACATCACTGTCTAGTGGATTCCATGTCAACTACCCTGACATTGAAACAATTCTTTCTGGTATCTGTTTCCTTGGTCTCTGTTTCCCTGGCCCCTGTTTCCCTGGCCCCCTGTTTCCCTGGCCCCCTGTTTCCCTGGCCCCCTGTTTCCCTGGCCCCCTGTTTCCCTGGCCCCCTGTTTCCCTGGCCCCCTGTTTCCCTGGCCCCCTGTTTCCCTGGCCCCCTGTTTCCCTGGCCCCCTGTTTCCCTGGCCCCCTGTTTCCCTGGCCCCCTGTTTCCCTGGCCCCCTGTTTCCCTGGCCCCCTGTTTCCCTGGCCCCCTGTTTCCCTGGCCCCCTGTTTCCCTGGCCCCCTGTTTCCCTGGCCCCCTGTTTCCCTGGCCCCCTGTTTCCCTGGCCCCCTGTTTCCCTGGCCCCCTGTTTCCCTGGCCCCCTGTTTCCCTGGCCCCCTGTTTCCCTGGCCCCCTGTTTCCCTGGCCCCCTGTTTCCCTGGCCCCCTGTTTCCCTGGCCCCCTGTTTCCTTGGCCCCCTGTTTCCTTGGCCCCCTGTTTCCTTGGCCCCCTGTTTCCTTGGCCCCTGTTTTCTTGGCCCCTGTTTAAAGGTTCATATTTCCAAGGTCATTCACAATGTCATCAAATCTGGCCAGCTTGTGGTCTACCCTCAGGCCCACAATGTTTGCAAATCTGCTGCATTGGCCAGAATTTTCTCCGAGATGTCCTTGGTTGATATTTGGACTCTGAGAGTGGGGTTGGGGGCGTGGGGAAGGTAGTTATTCTAAGAGAGTTCTGGCAGCCCGGTACTTAGTGTGACTTTTGACTTGATGTGTTACCTTAGGCATTTCTCCTAGCCTGGATTTTCTTCTTTGTTCTAGTGCAAGCTGCCTCTCCTCCTCCCCTCTAGTAAGTCTCATTTTGTTTTCTGAGGTTGGTTAGCTTCAGAGAGGCACTGGGGGCAGAAAAAAAAAACAGCATTTAATGTAAATCCAGAAACCTAGTATGGAATGTATTGAAATGCCTCATTCTGGACGAGCCCCGGTTGCTCTTTGACTCCTTCCTTCCGTATCAGGCAGAAAAAAAAACAGCATTTAATGTAAATCCAGAAACCTAGTATTGAATGTAGATTCAGATTCAGATTCAGATTCAGATGTTTATTCAGGTAAGGTATATACATACAAGTGATGTTACATTAATGGATTGATATATAGATAGAGCTAGTACATACAATGCCTAAAGCCACTATTACGCAATGCGTTTCGGGCAAGAATGTATTGAAATGCCTCATTCTGGACGAGCCCTGGTTGCTCTTTGACTCCTTCCTTCCGTATGAGGTTATAATAATAATAATAATAATAATTTTTATTTAGGTAAGGTACATACATAAAGAGATTTTACAAAGTTTGTTGGCTTTATAGATAGAGCTAGTACATACAATGCCTAAAGCCACTATTACGCAAAGCGTAAAGGTTAGTTGCTTTCTCGCTAATTTTTCAAGTTTCTCTTGTTCCTTGTGATTTGTTTTCAGAGTTCTGGGGTGTTTTCAAGGGTTTAGTCTTTGTTTACCCTCCAGTTGTCTTGTGTGTAAAGCTTTGTTGACTTTCTGGAGGCTTTCCCAGTGTGGTGGCAAATTGTCAAATGCTCCCTGCTCCTCTATGAAGGAACCAGGCACTGGTCACCAGTAGACTAAACAAAACTCTTGCATCTGATGTGATCCAATTGCATGGAGCTTCAGGAAGCCATCAAGACTCATCCAGAATCAGGTGTGTCATGTTGACCAGACCACACACTAGAAATTGAAGGGACGACGACGAATAATCGACTTGAGAATGGTCCAGGACGGACCGAAACGTCGTCGTCCCTTCAATTTCTAGTGTGTGGTCTGGTCAACATACTTCAGCCACGTTATTGTGACTCATCGCCTGCACAGGTGTGTCATCACATCATTCGCTGGGTTTTTGGTCAAATCAGACCACAATTACATGATAACTTGATGAAAAGGCAGCATTTCTTTATTTATTTATTTATTTATGTATTTATTTATTTATTTATATACAAGAAGGCACATTGGGTTGAGAGAGTCTATACATTGGGGTTTGATTGTAATATTCTTTCAAAGTCACTAACATGCACAGTGTTTTGGGCAGACAGATACAGAATTCTTGTTCAACAGGAATTTGTCTGTTAGCCAATTTGTTTCAGACTGCTATGATCTTTTCAGGTCCCACAGTATTGTGCTAATGAACTATAAAATGTTACAGTAAAATAATAATTCATTCATATAATTATGTATTGTCTTGTGTTCTTAATTAAACCATAAAATTTTACTTTAAAAATAAATTTAAATGTTTAATTTAATACAATTCCTTCTTCTGTAATACATTAAATCTTTCCAGTAAGATCCTCGGCAAGATATTCATTAAAATATTTGTTGTTTGTAATACTATACATCTCCGTATAGGACTGGAGGTGTGGTGTATTGAAGAAATTTTTTTTTTACTTAAATGAAAGTTCAGTACTGTAATAGCAAATATAAAATAGATGTGAAGGATCATTATGGCCTTATTTTTTATTAAATATTTTTCAGCCATTATTATAACCTGTTACTGTACCTTTATCATGTGTAATCTTGTTCTTCATGGAAACATCTGCTTCATACACCATGCTTTTGTTGACACCTTGATGTGCTGGATCAATACATTACTTGCATATTACCCTTATATTTTATGTTTGCAGCAAGTTATATATAAAAGCACTCTAGTTTTATTACTGATGTGTCTGACTAACAATATTTTCTCACTCTCATAGAAAAAATCACGTCAAGAAAGCCATGGGGAAGGCAGCGGTGTGGAGATCCTCGTGAATGAACCTTACGAGGATGGGCCGGGACCCGATGGCAAGGGGCAGTACACTCATAAGCTTTATCACGTCGGAAGCCACTTACCAGGTGACTAGTGTGTGTTGACCTACTACACTATTGTTTGTGTACCGCTTTCTCTTCTCTCTCTGCGGTTTCATAAAGTTAAGATTATTTTGATCAGAGGATTAGAGGCCTTCAAAGCAGCACCTCTGTATTGTGTCACGACGATTAAAAACTAAGAACGGCGATTAAAAACTAAAAACTAAGATCATAGAGATAAGATTATTTTGATCAGGAAAAATTAGTTATAAGGTGTTGCAATTGGTAATTACTGCACTTTTATCCTTCTGCATCTGATAAAACTCAATTAATAAAGAGAAATATAATTGAACCTTTAAGAGGTAGTAATTTAATTATAATAAGATAAGCTTCTAAAGTATGGTAAGAATTTTCAAGGGGCATAATACAGCTTATCTTGTTTTGCTAACCCATTTGACTGGCTGATTTTCTGTGGGGAGCCCCGTTGGATCCCTAAAGGTATCCAAACTGACATGTGTCATATTGGTTTGGTGTTATCAGTCCCTGGAGTTCTGTGCCTACCAGAGCCAGAACCTGGTCCACTCAGAGGCACAGGGAGCAAAGCCCATATGAGCGCACTACAATTAGAGTATGTCATTTCTGCCCTCGACCAGGGAAAGCACCCAGAAAGGTAGGTGAAGCAATACAAGCCCTATACTGAAAATTGCAACCTACGTCCAAACAGAGCCAAAGAACTCCCCCCAAAAGAAAACAAACAAAGAAGCAAATCGACATCCAACTAGTGTAATTACCTAAGTGTAGCTACAGGATGAGAGCTACGCTCGTGGTGTCCCATCTTCCCAACACTCTTTGTCATATAATGCTTTGAAACTACTGGCGGTCTTGGCCTCCACCACCTTCTAACCTAACTTGTTCCAACCGTCTACCACTCTGTTTGCGAAAGTGAATTTTCTTATATTTCTTTGGCATCTGTGTTTAGCTAGTTTAAATCTATGACTTCTTGTTCTTGAAGTTCCAGGTCTCGGGAAATCTTCCCTATCGATTTTATCAATTCCTGTTACTATTTTGTACGTTGTGATCATATCACCTCTTTTTCTTATGTCTTCTAGTTTTGGCATATTTAATGCCTCTAACCTCTCCTCATAGTTCTTGCCCTTCAGTTCTGGGAGCCACATAGTAGCTTGTCTTTGCACCTTTTCCAGTTTGTTGATGTGCTTCTTAAGATATGGGCACCACACAACCGCTGCATATTCTAGTTTTGGCCTAACAAAAGTCGTGAACAATTTCTTTAGTATATCGCCATCCATGTATTTAAAAGCAATTCTGAAGTTACAAAGCGTTGCATAGGCTCCTCGCACAAAGTTCTTTATGTGGTCCTCAGGTGATAGTTTTCTATCTAGAACCACCCCTAGATCTCTTCTTTATCAGAATTCTTTAAAGATTTCACATAATATATAGGTTGTGTGGGGTCTATGGTCTCCTATTCCACATTCCATAACATGGCATTTATTGACATTAAATTCCATTTGCCAAGTGGTGCTCCATATACTTATTTTGTCCAGGTCATCTTGAAGGGCATGACAATCATCTAAGTTTCTTATCCTTCCTATTATCTTAGCATCATCAGCAAACATGTTCATATAATTTTGTATACCAACTGCTAGATCATTTATGTAGACAATAAACATCACTGGTGCAAGAACTGAACCCTGTGGTACTCCACTTGTGACATTTCTCCAGTCCGATACATTGCCTCTGATTACTGCCCTCATTTTTCTATTAGTCAGGAAATTCTTCATCCATGTCAGAAGCTTACCTGTCACCCCTCCAATATTTTCCAGTTTCCAGAACAACCTCTTATGTGGAACTCTGTCGAAAGCCTTTTTTAGGTCCAGATAGATGCAGTCAACCCAACCATCTCTTTCCTGTAAAATCTCTGTGGCTCGATCATAGAAACTGAGTAAATTCGATACACAGGATCTTCCAGATCGCAAACCATACTGTCTGTCTCATATTATATCATTTCTCTCCAGATGTTCTACCCATTTAGTTTTGATTAGTTTTTCCAATACTTTCACTATTACACTAGTCATTGATATAAGTCTATAATTGAGGGGGTCTTCCCTGCTGCCACTATTGTAGATTGGAACTATGTGGAGTACCTGTTTCCACACGTCTGCTACGACTCCTGTACACATAGATACCTGAAAGATCAGGTGAAGTGGAATGCTGAGCTTAGATGCACATTCTTTCAGAACCCATGGTGAAACTCCATCTGGGCCAACTGCTTTATTCTTACTTAGCTCCTTGAGCATATTTTCCACTTCATCTCTAGACACCTCTATACGCTCTATGTTGTTCTGTGGAATTCTTATTGTGTCTGGTCCTCTGAAGATCTCATTTTGTACAAACACACTTTGGAACTTTTCGTTTAATGTTTCACACATTTCCTTTTCATTTTCCGTGTATCTGTCCCCCATTTTTAACCCCTGAATATTATCCTTTACCTGCAGCTTACTTTTAATGAATTTATAGAAAAGGCCTGGATCTGATTAACATTTGTCTGCTATACCGTTCTCAAAGTTCCTCTCTGCCTCTCTCCTTACTGACGTGCAGTTGTTTCTTGCATCTTTGTATCGCTGGTATGTTTGGGGGTTTTACCTCTTTCTATAATGATTCCATGCTTGTGTCTTTTGATCTCTGGCCCTCTCGCAATTTCTGTTGAACCAACCCAGTTTTCCAGGTCTGAATGTCTGTTTTGGTATGAATGTTTGTGTGCCTTCATCAATATATTATGCAAAATTTGCCATACCTCTCATTTACTTCCTTGCCTAGCAACAAGTCTGTCCAATTATACCCAAGAAAGCAAATTCTAAGTTCCCCATAGCATCCTCTCTCGAAATAGAGTTTAACAACTGTCTCACTGTCCCCATTCTTTACTAGATTATATCGCATAACGTATTTAATGTCCAAGAGGACGTGATCACTCTTTCCAAAGAGAGGAAGGTATTGGATGTCAAATACCTCTTCTTTCCTGGGGAATACTAGATCCAGTACTAACGGAAAATCCCCTTCCCTCATTCTTTTGGCCTGCTTGACGTGTTGATACATGAATTTCTCCAAGATGAGGTTTACAAATCTGCGTGTCCAAATGTCCTGTGTTCTTGCCTCGTGGGCCTTCCAGTCTATTGCCTTAAAGTTGAAGTCCCCCAGTACCAACAATCAGGATTTATCTTTGTCAGCTCTTACCATAATCTCTCTCATGACCATTATGAGACCCTCTCGTTTGTCATCCAGTTCTTCCTTTGTCCATGTGTTGCTTGCTGGTGGGCTGTAGGCATTTAAAATTATCAGATTATCATCTTGATTACAGAGCTGCAATGCCATTATGTCAATATCTTTAGGGTTTTCAAACATTAATTCTCTTACCTTCAGGTGTTCTTTCACCAGCACAGCCACTTCTCCCCCCCTTCTTAGTTTTCCTGTCACGTCTCCAAACTGAGTAGCCCCTTGGGAACACGACCTCATTTAAAATATTTTCTTCAAGTTTAGTCTCTGTTAATGCGATAATATCTGGGACTTTGAGCTGAATTATATCCTTCAACTCCAATATTTTCGATCTCAGTCCATCTATATTGGTACTGTATATACTATTTTCAGAAATATGTTCCCCTTTCCTTTATGTGTATGTGTGCGCGTGTGTGTGCATACGTATGTGTGTGTAATACACCTTTGTGTGTATGTGTATGTGTATATATGTATATGTACATAATATATATATGTATATATGTGTATATATGTATGTATACTTTTTCTTTCGAAAGGGGCTCTATTCCCTTCACTGTTGACGGGGCACTGGGGGAGCAGCTTGCTCTGTTGACTCTTGCATGGTCCCGCAGTTAGTGGGCGCTTTTGGTTGTCTTCCGGCCTCTGGTGGTGGCGGCGGACGGCTTCTCCCCCTTTGGGGGGTTTAGGGCTGGAGGGGTGGGCTTCTTCTCCTGCACTTCGTCATGTCATCTTAGTGGGTGCCTTGGACATGGTCGATCCGCCCCATCCTTCTGGGGTTCCCGTCTGCTTCATGCAAACATGGGCCTGGCGAATCTGCGGTTCTTCTGGACTTCTCCAGTCTGCGCCTTGGATTCTATGCCCTCATCGGAGGACTGTTGTCTCCTGTCCGGCTTCTGTTGGGGTCGGGTGCCTAGATGTTGGCCCTGGACCTCCAGGTAAATTCTTGGCACGTTCTCCAGTTTTCTGGGACTGGCACAGTTGGTGGTGGGGCTTCAGGCTTGCCGCTTTTGTTGCCTTCCCTAGTTTGTAATTGGCACTTGGTGTATTTACGCAGCTTTACTGGATCTTGGTGCCCTGTCTGAGTCTGCTTGGGATTCGGTGTCTGGCCTACCTCGACGACTGGCTGGTGTGGGCCGGACTGACTGGCCAATAAGCGGCCAAATGGTCCGCTTGTCTGTTCGCCAGGTGTGTGGTTCTTTCCAGATCGCCGGGTTTGGTTCCTCTGGCGATCTAGAGGCCGTTCCATATGTTTCCGTCCCGAGTTCGGACCTGGCTGGGTCTTGTTTAGGGCTCTTGGGCTGCTCCTTGTCTTTCCCTCCAGAAGTGTTATTGCGGCTGTGGTTCCGCCTTCGGCTGTTCATGAGGGGGGTCCCGGGTTGCTCGGAGGTTCCTCGAGCAGTTGTGCTGGAGTCTGAACTTCGACGTGCTGGTCTGCCCACAGGGTCGGGTTTAACTTTGGCATCTGTTTGGCACCTTCGGAGACTCCCCTTCCGCCCCTCTTGCAATCGTTGGGTTTGGACGTTTTGGATGCTGTTTGGACGTTTGCAGCTTTTGCTGCTGTGTTGGTGACGTCTAGGGCTCACTTCGGGCGCAGGGATTTGAGGGTCGCACAGGTTCTTGGCCGCCCATTCTTTATGCGCGTCTGCTTCTGTGCGTTCTTGTTGCATTGGGTCGCAGGATGCAACCTGTTGTCTCGGCTTCCCGTTGCGGAGTTTGTGGCGGCTGCCTCCCGTGTCAGCCCTTCACACTTTACTGCTGCG